CGAGAACTATTTATGGATATTACTTTTCGAGTTTGAAATATACATCAAAAAACTGTAAATGGAAGACAATTAACAAAATTGCGTAATTTTTCATACAGCAGTAAAACAAACCACCATAATTTTGTTGCGGAGATATTCGAAATTTTACTGAACAGAAACTGACCGTGTCCATACCAAAAATAGAATAATCTATGAAGAACTGAAGAATATAAGGTATGTGTGATTCATAAACTTGAAATATAGCACTTTTTTTCACTTCTTGTTGCAAAGCATTTGCTATACTGAAAAAATTAGAAGTTCAAAACTATATATTGTTTACATTCCGGTAATCAGTCATGAATCGATCACGACAGGTAATAAAAGCTATATAAAACAGAAAACAAAACTGCATATTTTAAGAGAATAAATCCATTTGAAAAAATTAATGTTGAGAATATAACAGTGGATTTCTACTTACATTCTAGCATAAAATGAATTATAGCACAAAATTTGCACGAAATGTTCATCGTTCTTATTATAACCATACAGAGATCTGAAACACGAAATTCGTAGCAAATATTTTTTCTTCAAATATAACACCTCTGTCAAAGTCATTTTGAATATCTTAATACATCAGATTTCTATTAACTGATGAGATTTGCATTTGTATTGAGGTTTAGATATTAATCAGACATTTCAATAAAGAGTCATCTTACTTGACTATTATAGGTTTGATTTCATATATAGCAAAATCAATATTGAATTTAGGTCGTCGATAATTTTGCAAAACAATTGCTTCAAGCTTACTACATAACAAAGAAGCATATTCTGGAGTGAACTGCAGACCAGTTCGAATAATTATATATGGAAATACGCCATGTACGTGCATGCAGCATTTCTGACCTGAAAAAGTAAATAAATTTCGCAAAGGCAGTAACACTACAGTCAAGAAAATTGAATAGAAATCATAGTATTTTTTCAAATAAATATAGCTTTGCTACATCTATTTCGCAAAATCGATTCTAAACAAAATAATAATTGAACTCTATAGTTAATAATAAATAATACCTGTTTCCAAAATGCCAAACATTCGTATAACAGGCACTTTAGCACTGGTTTTAAGATGAGGCCTGCTGTAACCATTAGGTTTTTCAACGTAATAATCGCATATAACATTCCTTACTGTGAGATTCATTTCAAGTAATACTCTTCACTTGCTCAAGTCTAAATAAATTCCAAACATGTATCATAAATATTTACAAAAAATCACTCTGATATGAAAATATTGCTTTGTCTTTAGGAAAAAATGAAGTACCTGAATTCTGAAGAGATCAGAAGAAAGTGACAACGAAGCACTTCTAGCTACACTGAAAATAAAAAAAATTAGTCAACATTCAGCGCTGATCTTGCTCGTCACCAAGTAGTTAAAAATGTATGAGCGAAACACTGAACTTCGAAAAAGATAACAGTTCACATATGTGCAACAAAACTTCATGTCCAAGTATTCATTCATAAAACCGAGAAAGTACTTAAAAATTTGACTCGGTGACCGAATTCAAAATGATAAATTACATAGCGAGAAGAAATAACGCCATGACATGGACTACTCGAAGTCCAACGTTCATTTCAAACTTATTTCATGTGCATCTCAAAGAGCATAGTTCACACGTATTACGGATATACTACAATCAAGAGATAATTTTATATCTGTAATTAAATACAGTCATTCCACCAAAATGCGTATCCAATATAGTTCCTAGCAGGACACAAATATTCAACTTGCCCCACCACAAAACAGTTCTGACCAAAATTTAATCCAAGTATGGTTATGTAGAAATTAAGCAGCAAAAAGCAAGAATTTTAGTTTTGAATCTGTATTACACCTTTTCTCATTTAGTTTACGATGCACATGAACTGTGTCATTATGAAGTGATTACTTCGTTCAAAAAATAATTTCTGTTGCATGTCATATCTTTCTAATATATCGAAT